CGTGATAATAGTGATGAAGAACGATGTTCACAACCATTTGGCAGATTAGGTGAATACATGTAAAAAGGGTTAAGCGTGTGTACGTATTTTGATCATTGTGTTTTATATGAAACAATCGTTTATCCGATATGGGTGTTATCTTTGCTTACCTGTTTATCTTTGATTTGAACCGTGATAAGTCCTAAATTTTAGAGATAGGTTTAGGCTTAGCATTTGCGTGAGTATCAGTTCGTAATGCTCTGTGTTATGTTTTTGTTGGATGAGATATCAGCAATGAGACAACACGATTGTTCTTTCAATGTTGCGTTAGAGATAAGCTTTGTCGTGGGTGATACGTAAGGATATTAGACGAATGATTGTTTGTGTTTAATTTGATCAGAAGAATGCATGTGTTATCAATTGATGAGATCCAATCCCAATAAGGCTCCGTTTATATTTCAGTTTTTACTTTATATTGTCCGTCTTTATATTTTCTGTTTTTATACATGGTTCCTTGAACCTTTTAAACCAAAACTTTTGAACAATAGGCTTAGAAATATGGAGGTCGTTGAACGACGTTCGTATCGCATCGATCCCTGTGGAGACGACAAAACTGGGTACTTAATATTTTTTGCTTGCTGCTTTACCGCACCAACAATTATACAGATAAAAAATTGCACTCCCCTATATTGGTGACCTCCTTCTTCTCGTCGTCGACACTGGGAGGGGCGATTATCTGACGGTCGACCACTCTATGCAGAAACCCGATCCTCTTAGTGGAAAGCTCGACCCCGAGGTTAGCAAGTCGAAGTTGAGTCGCGATATTATCGAAGCTTATCTCAACGGAATCTACATAGTCCTGCTTGAGGCTTTTGATCAGGGAAACCAACTCAGCACGGGTCCCCAAGGCTTTTAGTTCGTCGTCCTCGTCCGCAGCGGGGGTCGCGACAGCTTCAAAAGCAACGATCTTGTCCTCGAGGATATTTTTCTCGGCGGCGTGCTTGAACCTCAAGGTAGCCAATGTTGTAGTTAACTTAGCATTCTCGGTGACAATCCTGATTTGTGCCTTGTATTTCTCTTTTTAGTCATCGAAGGCAGTCTCCACCTTGATCGCCTCCTCTCTGAGCTTTCTATACACTGTCTGTTGCTTCTCTAGCTCGGTGACGATGCAAGTCTTCTTGTCGTCAAAGACAATATCAACCTCAAAGACCCTTATTGGAGCGGCCGCATCCTGAGCCAGTACTTTACTTCTGGATGTTGCTTCGAGGCCCAGGATTGCCGAAGAGCCACCCCAGGGTATGACTTGAGAATGACCCCGTTCGAAGAACCCCCTATGGGAAAAGCAATGAGGCAACACAAAATTTTCATTGGCACTCTCTTCCCCCGTCAGATCTACTGCCTCGACATCAATCAGTTACATCCTCTTCTTCGTCAGGGTGTCTTTGTTATATTGATGAGAAGACTAGTCACCACTATGGGAAGAAGTAAAGTTGGGCTCAGAGTTAGTCCTCGACTAGTTCTAGAGGTTGACGAGCTTGTTATTGGAACTCCTCTTTCCGCCTTTCACAACATTCCCATTGGCCATCGCCATTTTGAGCACGCGTTCTTAGAGGTTCGACATGTTGCTTGCGACAAAAAACAAACACAAGTGAGTACACCAAGAAACAATAAAAACACAAGTTAAAAGTAAAACAACTACCTAAAAGCAGTCTAGCTTCCTCGACCCTCGAGGAGCTCTCTGGTATTAATAAACAGAGCCTCCAATATGGCTTCACCTCACTTATCCCCATCCTTGGTCTGCCACTGAGCAGGAGTAAAACTTTCGACAAACTTCACTACTTTCTCAAAGCCACATTGATCCTCGGGGTCCAGCTCGTTCAGCTTCGTAATGCAACAGTTTGTGCTCGCATCAAAGTGGACGTTAGTCCATTATAAAGCGAACTTCGAGACCCTCTTCGTTACCGCATTCCCATCCTCGTTAAAACAGGCACTTTCTTCTTCCTCGAGCACGGGCACACATCCAACATAGAATCGATGGCTGCTCAGGACGCAGGCTTGACCACATAGTACCTGTCCTTGAAGGTACGGACAGAGTCCGAGAACGCCTTGAACAATTTCTTCGGCTGCTTTAGGGACACCCAGTTGTGTTTCCCGTGCAAGGTTTGTCGTTTGAGGTGGAAGTAGTAGAAGAACAAAGGGATGGTATCGCCAATCTCGAGATACTCACACACGATCTCGAAGGCCCAAATAAAGGCAATCGAGTTCGGGTGCAGTTGTGAAGGGGATAGCTCTAGCCGACCGAAAATTCCCATTTGAAGGCTGCTGAACGGCAACCGGAGCTCTAACTCCTTAAAGGCGAACTCGTACACGACGAAGCGATTCCCCGAGAAAGTCGTGCAAATCCGGTGGTCCCGACCGGACCGGTAGACACCCCAATTTTGCAGAGCTTCCTCAACACCCTATTTCCTCGGCAATGGTGAACGCGCTCTTTGGAAAATCTACGAAGCGCGAGGGTATACCTCGAGGCTCCAACCTAACCCAAGCCAATTTAGGATTAGTGATGGTGTCTACTAACTCATGAACTTTTGTGTTGCAAGCCATATAAACCTGAAATGCAGAGGAAAATAGTGAATTCAACGATCATATCAAATTCACCCTTCCACTGCATATTAAGTGAAAGGGTGAAGAAAGGCACAAGAACGTTTCCCTCGACCAAGGCCATTACTCAACGGCGAGTGAGGAAGTCGTGAGGATTTTCTCCTCGTCTGAGGTCTCGGTCGACACATCAGAGGTCATGAAGAAAATCATCCTCAATGTGAGGATTCATAAAAAAACTGACATTTATCCTAAAGTTCACGAGCGTCACGAGGAATATCATCCTCGACGCGAGGATTCATAAAAAAATTAATTGGCATTCTTCATAAAATCCATGAACGTCGCGAGGAAGATCCTCCTCGACGCAAGGATTCATTAGAGAATAAATGGATGTTCATCATAAAGTTCATAAGCGCCACGAAGAAGAGCCTGTCTAACGTGAAGCTTCATCAGAAACTCATGAGATTCGCGAGAAAGACCCTTATCAATGCAAGAATTTCATCGGAAAACTCAAGCTCCTCCGGCACAAGTCATACTCACCGCCTTAACGGTAGCGCCATGGTGATTTTCTACTAAAAACCCAACTTTTCTAGCCTAATGCTCTCTTAACGGCGATGTTTGGAAATGATCAAGCCACCACTAAATACCAACACCGTCGGAACCCAACGTAAAGAAAAACATGCATCATAAAATAATCTACATTATGAAGCTATATACGTTCTAAAAACTGGCATACAAACAGAGGATTGGAGGAAAAATGCTTACTTGATTTGAAGAGTACTAAAGCTGACTTGAAGAAAACTTACGGCAGTGGTGACGACGACGACAGACGACAAAGAGAACCTGAAGCTAGAAGGGAAGTTGAGAGAAGAGCGAAAGCGAAATGAGCAAATAAACCCGCTTCTACCTATTTATAAGCCATCTCCGTGGCATGGGTAAGTGTGTCATCGTCTAGGCTCTTGAGTACCCCTACTTATAGGCCATATGCATTTAATGATTCTGACACGTGGCGCGAGGAGGCGAAATAATTCGTCTTCTTGTGTCCCATCACATGGCTCGAGGAACCGACGTGAGTCCCATCAACCTTCTGGGAACCCCTTGTCGGGCACAGGGAACGTACCTTTGCATCCATTCATGAGCACGTCCTCGACGAAAAATTTGAAGTAGACTTACAAGCAGTTTGATAACTCGTGGGCAAAGTCAAACACTCCATGCGAGTGCAAGTAAAGATCTCGATCACAGTCCCTGTGTGACACATCTTTGTTGACCACAGTCCTTGCGCGGCGCACCTGCAAAAATGAAATTCGATAAATTACGAGCGAGACGACGCCCACAGCAGCACGAACTCATGAGCTCAAAATCGCGAGCACAAATAAAAGCTCTCCTCGCGCGGAGTCCCTTGCCGCTCCTTGACACACGGACTGACACTAAGTCATTAACCCCATGCCTGAGGGCAATAACTTAGGAACTCTTGTTCTGGGTTAGACCCGTGGCTAGCCTAATGTCGAGTACAACCTAATCCGGTCCTACGTCGAGGACGACCTAGAATGCTGGCCCAACCCCTTGGGGTCAGTAGAAGATATTTTCCCACGTGCTCCTCACCTGAGGACACGTCATTAACGTGACCCGCACACTTCGTATAATCGTTCTGCCCTTCGTAATGGACGAATCCAGCCACTATCCAGGAAATGTGGGGCAGTTGACCAGGACGATGGACACATACTGCTCATCCCTAAGTCCACATAGGAATCTTGGCAGTCATCAGTTGTGGGTTTAGACATTCAACCCATAACGAAGACCATTGACCAAGCGCTGGGGGCTCTCTTTAAAAACCTTCCTCTGCAGGAGGGTCATGTATTTTATTCTCTTTAATCTTTCTTGCCACCTCTTCACCCGACTAACTTAAGTACCAGAATGTCTACAGGTACACCCCTTCCTCTCTTGTTAACTGTAGCTGCTGCAAACGTGTTGCCAGCCACCTTCTGATTGACATGTTAGATCAATTTTTATTTTTATTTCAAATACTTATGCGGATAATTTTAATTGAATGACAATACAAAATGACTTTACACGGAATTAATGCCAATTCCGTAGTTTTAACAAAAACAAGGGGTGAAATTGGAAATATAACATTGAGGTCGAAGCGGCAGCGATAGAGAACAGTAGAAAATCTGAATAAACAAACGGAACCCTCGTTTTCTCCTCGATTCGCTCCATCATCATCATCCACACAGTAATCATCCAATTTTCTTCCCACTACTTCACTTCACTACACTAATCAACATTCAACTTAAACCCTACCGCACTATCATCCACTATTCAATTGTAAGTTCTTATTTAGGGTTTTATCATGTCCTTGCTATTGATTTCTTGCATCGTTTACATGCTAACGATTTGCAGCTCCTTTTGCAGTTTACTGGAGCGAAATGAGTTCTTCTTCTATCGACGATTTTCCGGCGATTCAGGTAATGAATTGTTTGAGTGTTAATTTAGTTGTATTGTAGTTTAACTCTAGTTGTTTTTTTATTATTGAAAATTTGTATACGAGTAGGAAGTTATGCTGGAGTTTCGTGCTGGTAAAATGCTTCTAGAAGGAAAACGGGTGGTTCCTGATCCTCGGAAAGGGCTTGTTCGGATTGCTAGGGTATGTTTCTTTGAATGTTGTTTGATTTGTTTGCTATATATTCATTTGGATTTGACTGGTTGATGTTTGAATATTGTTTTAAGCCTCTTTGATATTTTATCTATGGTTGTTATTTGAGGTGATTGCTTTTGTCTCAGGGTGAGGAGGGGTTAGTTCACTTTCAGTGGCTTGATCGCACGCTAAATGTTCTCGAAGATGTATCCTTTTTTCTCTACTCTAATATGTTTAATTGATGTTCGTTTAAGTAGTGTACTATTCTGTAAGCTCCTTCTTGTTGCAAGTATTTTGACCAAGTTGGGGAAAGTTGTAGGATTGATAAGATAAAGAACTTGGATTACCCATATAGAAGATTAGAATTTGCATTGAATGGCTTGATATATTAACTTTTTGTTTCAAATAAATCACTCGATTATTTCTGCATATAGTCTTTCCTAATTTACTATGTTACAAATTAGAATAGAATCAAGTAAATATACACTGGAAATTAGGAAAAGATTATTTGAATAGTAGGAAATATGGGAAGAATCCACTAGCTAATATGAAAATGTTAACATTGTCAACCACCGGAATGAGAAAACAAAACCACATTTTTCATTTACTTATTCAACATATTTGTTATTTATCAGGATGTTGGTACGAGATAATACTTACCCAAATAATACACGTACCCAAGTTAAGTAGCCTTTTATAATTAAAATATTTTATTTAGTCCAGATTTGGTGTGTTCCCCTGGTTCGTAGTCTTATGGTACCTAGTTTTATCTATTCATTTAGTTTTAATTTTTTTCTTCAAGTGAACATATTCAGTTTCTTGTGATGCTGATCTAGCACACCTTCTATTATGGAATAAATGATAAATTCAGTGGTTGAATGTTTGACAAGCGAAATTAAATGTTAACAATGTTATAGTTAGTCAAAACATGAAGAGTGTTCATGTTTTGCCTAATGTTTTTGAAGTTGGATTTCCGCAAAATCAACCTAGTTTTTCCTCCATCAGGTGTGGTTGGCTACATAGATCATATGATGCCACAATGCCTTGTTGTATTTATGTTTAAAGATTGACCATTTATTTCAAACCTCTTTTAATTGTTTGCCATGTAGTAGATTCATTTGGTCTTATACCAACTCAACTATTTGACCAATCCAACATCCTCCATCTGCTCAACCTTTTTGTTGTGTTTATAATGGGTCTTCTCTCCACACACTCCCAAATCACCTAAGACGAGTACCATCTTTTCTGTGATAGGAGCTACCCCAACTTACTCTTTGAACTACAATTTACAGGATTCAAACAGAATTAGTTGTCAATAAACAGATGTTATTTGTTTGTGAATAAAATTTAAATAGAATTATTAGTAAATAGAATTTATAGGGGGCAGATTTTGACCTTGAGTGTTTATTTTTCATTGAAGTGCAGAAATGTCCCTATTAATCATTTCTTTCTTTCTGCACGAGTGTGTTGTGTGTGTAATAGATATTGCTAGTATTTTCTCTTATACAGATACTATGGGAAATTTGTCCTACAAATGGCAGATTTTCTTTTTCTTTCTTGCAAAATCACTCCTCCACACTTTGCCTTTTTGTACGTTGAAGAGAAATTAAGGAAATGCTTGGGGATGTTTTTTCTCAACTGGATAGTTAAAAAAGCTTAATAGCTAGCAAAAAGGCTGTTAGAAGTGAATAAGTGTTGGGCTAGTATTGCTGTTTGAATTTTATTGCTTGTAAGAGAGTGGCACTCCAAAAACACACACAAAAGCCATTTAAACCAAGTAAACATCTGTAGGATATGTTTGAACATATTGTATCGTTATTCTGTTCTTCATGCTTTTTTCCGGAATACTATTATTTTGACAACCATTTTTTTTTACTGTATCTATGATAAATTCAAACATTAGTTGCTTACTTCTGGATTTATATTGTTGCTTCTTGACCTAAGCCAATACAGGATCAGATCATATTTCCAAACGAGGCTACTTTTGAGCAGGTTCCACTGCTAATCTTTTAATATCTTGGTTATGATTCTTTTGATGATTCTTCGGAGTTTTCTGACCTCTCTATTAATCGGTTGCTTAGATTAATCAAGCATCTGGAAGGGTTTACATATTGAAGTTTAATAGTGATGACAGAAAGTTCTTCTTCTGGATGCAGGTTGGCCTTATTACTGAATACGGACTTGTCTCCTTAAGTACTTTACCTGCCTGATTAGTTCTTGTTTCTTATATTTCTTATTTTCTACATAATCCTTTATTGTGTCTAGGAATCTAATGCTGATAATGACTCGCAACTTTGTAGCTCTGTGAATGATTATATTAACAGACCATTGGGTAAGTATCTCTCATTTTGCTTTAAATTGCAAAATAGCAAAATTCCTTTCTATTAATAGTCTTATGTCAGTGGACATTCCTGCTATTCTGCCTATTCGAGAAGGGTTTAGAGAATTTCTGTTAAAGAAATTTTTGAATTGCTTCAATGAATGGCTCAGCAAGTTTAATAGTGATATACATCTAGAAATAAATACAACTTATATATACAAGATAATATATAAGGATGCCATTTCATATATAGTATATACTAGCACGTGAACCTACAAATGCTCGGGTCTGTTTATCAATTTCTACTGTTAAAAACTTTGTAATGTAGTTAAACTTTTCTGTGAAGTAGTTTTTATCTTATCTAAATATAAATTAAAGCAAATAAGCCAGGGCAACATTCTTTCCATGTCAATTTTTAAACATTGGTTTTTGGCAAAGTAAATAGAATTGTGAAGAGAGTGAAGTAGCAATTTGTTTCATTTAGCAGCTAACTAAACAACTAAGCCATAAAGACTAATTGTTTTGCATGCACCGGTTTTTCCTCGAGTGATAGTGAGTATTCCATATGTGCCCATGCAGAGCAAGTATGTACTGGCACCGGATAAGTACCCTGTATGGTTTTGAACAAAACATTAGGAATACTTGTGCACATTGTTATCAAATGACGGATATCGTAGCAGACCTTTTGTTGTTCTGCGATATGCGATTTAGTACCAAGTGCTGTCAAATAGCGGCTATAGCACGACAGCGTTGTAGAATTTGAACAAAATTATGTTTCTCGCAATTTACTATCGGCAGCATTTCTTGTGCATAATTTAATTAATAGCCCCATATTTTTTGTTTTGCAAATCTCAGTACTTTTTTGTTAAGTATGTGTTATAAGTAAGTATTTCCTCAATGGTTGTTTCTTCCTTTTGGTTTTGGTGCTGCATAACGTTGCAATTGCAACATTTTATTTGGTTTTGATTCATGCATAACGTCGCAATTGCAACCTTTCAAAGTGACATAGGCAAATACCTAGAGTGAAATTCTCATCCCTAGAAGTAATGTGCAATGTAATCATTAACATGTATGTATTCACTAACAGAGCTCCTTGGCGAAGAGGAACCTGATGGATCTCTTCCACTTCAAGTTTCTGAAGATATGGCTGAGGATGATATCTCATCTAGGTACTTCTTTTGGATATTCAAATGTTTTCAGATGCAAGAGCTTGCAAAATGAAATTGAGCTTTGTGATCATGCCTTTAATCTAGCAATTTAGTTATCCGGTCCCTTACTAATGCATTGGATATCTACTTATTTTCCCAGCTAAACTCTAAAGGTTTTTTATTTTTTTTGTTGGAAAGAGCTGCAAACTTATTTGTCCCGAATCTGGGTGTGGATGCAACTAGCGATATAACGTCTTCTGGTCCAGTTAAATTGGAAGATCTCCAAAGAATATTGAGTAACATTGGTCCTTCTGCAGGTAATAAGCTTCATTGAGAGATATGTTTTTTTATTCCCTTTTAACTGTGTTGAGACCTGACCTATTATTTTTCTGATGATATGTTTGCAGATAATATTATTGATCCTGATGGAGGTAATCACTTGGCATTATGTTTATATTCTCTTTCCTTGATATCTATAGAGTCATCATCATAGACGTGTTAACCGATAATATTATAATTATAATTACATACTGTAACATTCAAACTCCAATCTAATCTACAACTTTATATTTAGTCTAAAAATTTAAGCTGTCAACATAATATTTAAAATTGTATCCCGCGATGAGGGGAATAAGTATGCAATATGAAGGTTTAGGTTTTTTACATTGTTTTTTCCCTCTGGCAAAATGCTGTTCACTCTACATTGACAAGTTTCTTGAATTTAATTAGGCTTTGAACTCGGTGACCTATTGAAGCCTGATCTGATATTGCCATTGATGGAGACATTATCATTGGAGCAGCGTCTTGCTCCTTATTTACCGGAGGTATATACCAATTTAGTGATTGAGTTCTAGTATTCATTTGTATAGTGATTGATGTAGTACTCTTTGATGTAGGGTACTTGGTCTCCGGAAGAAATATTGGAGTTGTTGCAGAGCCCACCTTTCCGTCAGCAAGTAGATTCATTTACTTATGTAAAGGCTTCAGTACCCCCTTTTATTTTTTTTACATTTCATTTCAAAAAATACACGGCATGTTGATATATATTTTTTGCTACAGGTACTTCGAACAGGACAGATAGATTTGTCTCAGTTTGGAATCGATCCAACTAAATGTAAGTTTTAGTACTTTCATACTCTTTAACCCCCACCTTAATTAATACACCCTCTGGTACTTCATATAAGAAAAAAAAAATGTGTTTTTTAAATTTATTGAATAATCAATGTATCTGATTAATTTTGATGCATGTATCTTTAACGTGAGGTGTTTTTTTTGACGGAAATTTGCTTATTGATTTGTTATTTACTATTGCTGGTTCTGTTTTCTCCCTTGGCAGACAAGTTCACAGTTTTGTCATTTCTCGAGGCTCTTGAGGATTCTGTTTCCAAGTCTGAGGAAACCAGGCAAGATGATCAGGAATTAGTATCTCAATCTTGTACTCCGATGGATGAATCTAAGTAGTGTGGTTGGTCCATTCGTCTTTTTTTATAGATACAAGGAATTTGTCTTTTTTTTTGGTTGGCAAAACATATATATGCTTGAAAAAGGAAAGTTTAAAGTGGTAATTTAATTGAGATTTTTCAAGGCTATAGAGTGAAATGATTTATTAATAAAATTTGAATCCATCGGTATCTTTATAATCTGAATAATATCCAATGCATCTCTGAAGGTTGTGGGTTCTGACAGCGACGAGTGAATATTGATCTGTTGAGGTGTCGATTGCCGATGTGGGCCAGTTTGATTTACTTAAAAAAACTCTTCTAATTTTTAGAAGTTATAAAAGATAATTGAATTGCTAATCCCACCCCAAGAGGTGCCATTTGTCTCATTGAAATACCGTCTAATTGAGGCTCATCCCATATTTATGCTTTAATTTTAGAAAATTTTACTCTATACTTCTACTCTTATCTCCACACTATGCAGTCAAATGAGTAAAAAAATATTTCTTTTGAAATTTTTTTGGAATTTTATGACACGATAAAGAAATTTGGATTGTATTACAATTAAATTGGAAAACACAAATAAAAGGAATTCAGATGTTGGATTTAACAAATTGATAATTTGTATGTGAGTTATTTGGTTCACAGAATACTTTTCAGATAACATTGATATACTTTTCAGATGTTGAAATGCATTTTTAATTTTTGTTTAAATTTTAAATTTTTTTATAAATTTTTGTCACATTTATGTTCAGAGAGTTTTGGTTTTATTTTTGTCATAATCGGATTTCTTGTTCTAAGAGTTTTGAAATGCATTTTTAATTTTTGTTTAAATTTTAAATTTTTTAATTAATTTTTGTCACATTTATGTTTAGAGACATGTACATTATTTTGACGATATGTGTTAAAAATTAGACATATGCAGATACGATTGAGATACTTTTGATTACAAAAATTTGCCACACGAGAAGAGGCGACTAGGTGGATTAGGGAGGTTGAAATCAAGAATAGAGTTACTGTTATAATAACCCGTTCGAACACAAAAGGGGGTTGAAATCAGAAATAGAGTTATTATTATAATAATCCGTAAGAGAGGAATAAGTGACAACTATATTTGATTGTGATAGAGGTGGAAAATACAAAGAAGGAGATAATGAAACACAAAGTGCTACCAAGAAATGTGCTTGTCCATTCAAAATTAGGTCAACACCTTCAAAAGATGGTTGAAATATTGGTGTAAAATGTGGACTTCACATCCATGATTTACCGGATAGATTTGAAGGTCATGCGTTTGTAAGTCAATTTAATGCTGATAAACAACAACATATTGTTAATTTGACAAAACGCCATGTTCCACCAAGACACGTATTGTTGTCATTACAAAAACGGGATCCAGAGAATGTGATTCGAATCACCCAAATATATAAACATAAGACTAAGATTTAGAAATACATCAGGGGTCCTAGAACGGAAATGCAACAGTTATTTAAGCTGATAGAGAAATCTGATTATGTTTATTGGAGTAGGAAAAAGGATGAGCCAAAAGTTGTGAGAGATATCTTCTGGGACCATCCAGGATCAGTGAAGTTGTTGAATATGTTTTCTAATGTGTTGATTATGGACAGTACTTACAAAACAAATAAGTATAGACAACCTTTGTTTGAAGTAGTTGGTATGACATCAACTGAGTTAACATTTACTGTTGCATTTACCTATATGGAATCTGAGCAAATAGAGAATTTGTGTTGGGTACTGCATAAGTTGAAACAATTGTTCACTAAGCAAGGGTTATGGCCACAAGTGATTTTAACGGATAGAGATCCTGCTTTGATGAAAGCAATTGGAATAGTATTTCCAACGACAATTAATTTGCTTTGTCGATTTCACATCAACAAGAATGTGAAAGCGAAGTACAAAGAGTATGTTGTGAATGATATGCGAGAGCCGATAAAGAAGATATGGTATGAACTTGTAAGGGATAATGATGAGTTGGAGTACCATCAAAAGTTGTAACAACTTGAGCATGCCTGTGTGGATTTTAGACCATTTTTTGACTATGGTAAAGACACATGGTTGACGCCTCACAGGCATAAATTTGTTGAAGCTTGGATCAATAAAGTGTTGCATTTGGGCAACACCACGACTAATAGGTAAAGTGTTTGATTTTAGTCATAGTTTGTTTATCTTAATATTAATGATATTGAACTTTTTTATGTTAAGGTTGAGCCCGCACATTAGAAACTAAAGCAGATGTTGGAGAACAATTTAAGTGATATGTGCAAATGTTGGGAGGATATGAATTGGAACATCAGGGTGCAATTGGGCAATATTAGAGATTCATTTCAGAAGAGTTTTTATGAAGCTGAGCATGCACACACTAGTCCATTTTATAGGAATTTGCGTTGATCAGTATCTAGAGCTTCTTTGAGACACATTGCTGATGAGTGGAACAAGGTTGACATGGTGGGTACAAACACCCAAATGTGCGGGTGTAGTCATAGAAAAGTTTACGGGTTACCTTGTGCTTGTGAGTTAGGGAGATACACATTGAGTGGTGAACCAATACCAATTGATTCTATTCATATACATTAAAGGAAGCTCAGCTTGAAAGGTGAACAAGAGGTAGATACAAAGGATGAAACAAAGGTGGACATGACCCAATGCAACTGATGCACTGTAGAAAATGTTCAGGTCATTAGATGTTGCAGAAAAGAGATTACTAAAAAGTAGGATGTGTGAAATTTCCTACCCCAATATAACAAAGATGGTACCACCACCTGAAAAAATAAAGACTAAAGAAGGAGTAAAGAGAAAAGGGAAGAAACCTGTGGGATATGATGTTTATCGTGATCCTTCATATCATGAGTATGTTGATTAAACAAACAACAATTCTAAAAAAATCTTCAAAGAGACCATGTTCACAGTTATCCCAAACGTCAAAGAAGAAACCATCTAATAGGTACATTGTATAATTTCTAGAGCATATCAAACCATTTATTGATGACATTGTTGATGTTAAGAGTGACTGAAACTGTGGGTATAGAGTGATTGCATCATTGCATGGATATGGTGAGGATGATTGGTCAATGGTTCGTCGATATTTAGATAATTAAATTAAAGGTTCCAGAATCAGTCTATATGACAACTTATTTGGAAGTCGCTTATCAAAAGTGAGAGACTCCTTGATGATATCGTCTTTAGATACTCAACCATTAGACAAATGGATGACATTACCAGATATGGGTCATGTGATAAAAAATCAGTATAATGTCATTCTAGTCTCTTTGGGTTATCCTAGTTTGACTTTCTTTCCTATGACGACTTCACATTCACCTAACGTGTCCATTTACTGTATTGGTTTTGTAAACCAAAATCATTGGGTCCAGGTAAACATTCATGTTTGTTATGTTAATTACTTATCTTTCATTTATGTCTTACTTACTAATGTTTCTTAACAAGTAAACATGAACGGATAATTTTCCTTGCCACCAGTCACATTGAACTGAAAGAAGTATCGCACATCAGATGCAACTTCTTGGATGATAGGATTTGTTGGACGGTTACAACATTGGCAGCAACTTACGCCTGTGGTGTCGAAATATGTTAGATTATGATTGGAATGTGATTTTTATATTTTGGTTTGTTTTGACATTTGATTCGTGATATATTTAATTCATGGTATGTTTGGGATTATACTACATAAAGAATATTATATAAGTTTGAATAATATTACATAACTCTGAAGAATACGACATACGTCTGAAGAATACTACATAAGTCTGAATAACACTACATAAGTCTGAATATAAATAATACATCAATCATCATCACTAACATAACGTATCAACTCACCCGAGCTATACGTAGTGCTCGAAAGACCTCAACAAAGTCATCATCATCCTCTTCTACCCCGTGACAATGTAAATAGCGACGAAGCTCATGTGAAATATGTAACAACCTAGGATTTGATGGTCCCGCATCATAGACAGGAACCAGGGCCTGTCTGATCTCCCCCCCATGTGGAGGTACCAAATGAGGATGTGACACCCTATAGTACCAATCCAAGTAATCGGGCACCACATCATATAAAGTATTTGCAAACTCGACCGGAAGGATCACTTCCATAACGCTCGCATGATATGTAACCCACTCAATATCCATATCAAGTGTGTCAACATCAGGAGGTAGAGGTTGTATGTATTGCTTGTATCCAAACTGACACAAACATCTGTCAGATGAATATAGAACAATAATACCATACCATTTCAGACCACCCCTATACAAGTATATATCATCAAATGGTCGATGCTTTATGTGATCCTCAAAAGGTTGTCAAATGAAATCAGAACGTGTCAATCCATTCAATATAGGTCTGAGCTCATCCACCTTCTGCGCGTCTTGCTTGTATATCCACTTCATCGCCCTAGGAAGTAGACTATAGATACCATAAATCTTAGAAAATCCTCTCTTGCCAACAGTAGAAAAATACTCATGAATCCAACACTGTTACACAAAATGAATATTATCAATTAAAAGTATTATAAATAAGCTAATATACATCTAAATGAAATTAAAATAAATTATTTGTACATGTAGCAAAGAGGCATATCCCATTAGCTTCCTGCAACTGTAAAACAAAGCATCTCTTACATATCTATAAAGTGTGACAAGTGCAGCTGCCCCCAACAATATCTACTGAATCTAGACAAGCCCTAAAATAGTGGTAAATACATTGCCTCTATAAGTTTAAAGGCCCTATAAGCAAAAATGGCGCAGTCAACTAAAAACAACATTTAGGCTCTAGCTTCACAGTCAAATCTGTCCGCAGCTTGCTGACGGATAAATAGCTGCTCAACCAATCCAAGCTATAATAAGGACCTCTGCAACCACAAACCTCTTCAACTGCATCCTCCAACGAAACACCCAGGAGAACAATAGCCTGAGTAATGACATCTAAATCAGTGAACCCTTCTGTAGGGTTACACAACTCCCCATACACAGTAGATGAAGTAAACAAGAAAC